TTTTGGAAATAATAACAATAGAGTCATTGTGATATCAGATACGGAAATAACATTGATGGCATACAAAGTACCTCATTGATGTATCGAACACAGTAAAACAAGAACAATTTCGTGTTATAGCCGTAGAAAAAATTTTTTTTCTCCAAGCAGCAGGGATAGTGGCTTCTTCCTGCCGCTCAACAGACAAAAAGCTTTACTTTTACTGCCTAAGCAGAAAAAGTTTGTTGCCATGCAACGTTCTTATAAATTATATAATGAAATCAGTAATCAAAACTGACACTGATATTTGGTGAACACAAAATGATAGAGTTTTCGATAAAAAATGACACTAACTTGGTTTAATAGCATTAGGAGAAAAAATTTCATGTTTCACACGGCAGCAAATGTAGATTGACTGCCTTGGGTGAATTCCTAGCCGCGCCTCGGCTATGAACTGTCAGCCGCGGCAGTCAATCTAATAGTTTTCTGCCTAGTAAAACAAAATAAATGACTTATTTTTTCAGAATCGTCTCAATTTCACGCAGAGTCCAAATAATCCATCATTTTGTGTTCTTTCAATGTCATTGTCAATTTTGATTACCAATAGACCATTTCACGCTGAGCGCTTGTTTTCGCATATTGGATATAATTATTTGTTTTTACTTTATTTACGATTTTGTCATTTCACAACATGTTTGAGTTTCGCCACGTTCAGAACTGTAATCTCAAGAATATGTCAGTTCAGATTGAAATCAGCATTTTCGAGTTTTTGTTGGAATTGAGAAAAAAATGAGGAAAGAAGAACCGGATATAATCGTGATCAACGAATGAGAAGGTACTCCCGAAATAAGCTAGAAACTATCATTTCATGAGTTTCCATGAAACATCCAGGGAAGGTGAGAACGGATACAAAATATTGGGGATTCGGGCGATGGTTTGAATGAGATCATGCCGTACAAACAAAAATGATTTCTCATAATACTTTCTACTTTGAAATCAACTTGTTCTCATCTATATCAGCAATATTTCAAGATATACTTTCTCGGGATATCGCACGGAAATAGCGCACGGAAAAACTTCGAGAATAACCATGGAAACGAATCATACATGCCAAACACTGTATCGTCAGCATTGTTTATTCTCTGTCAATCAAATTCATGCCGACAGAATGAACTCTGAAGAAAATCCCGAAATTCCCTATAATATCCTAGAGCAAGCGGTACAAGCGTGAAACCAGTGAAATCCAGGTCTAGTGGTTCCAAGATGTTTCATTCCTACTGTGAAAATTAAATTGTTCCAAGTCTCTTTCATGTTCATCCTCATTTTCTTCGAAGTGTGATGAAATAGTTATTTATTATACAAGGGAAAAAAGTAGTAGATTTTAGCTCCAGGTTGTGTTGTCTCCCGACGCGTAGCGGAGGGAGACAAAAAACCGTGAGCTAAAATCTAATATTTTTCCCGTGTATAATACACTATTTTTTTCTGTGACAGAAGAAAGGACGAATCAATATTGAGAAAATGGTACATTATTTTGAAATCTGAAAATTATCGACGTGAAATTTTAAGTTTTTAACAGTAGGGACACCTGCGTTCTATAGGCATCTTTATCATTCTTTTGAAGTAATCAAATATTTGATGTCACTTCTGTCAGTCTAATTCTGTGATTTGATTTCAAAAAATTGCGAATTTAGTGGTTGTTTAGTAATATACGTAACCGCGAAGTCGAATCGAAGATAAGGACTTGCAGTTCTTTCTCGGAGACGGTATTATTGACTCATTTTTCGAAACTATAGCACAACAAAAGCCATCAACAGTGTATATATATGTGATATATATCCGGGAAAAAAGTACTCACTTTTTGCCCACGGGAAAAAAGTAATTTATGAAAAGTGACATTTCATAACCTGCCAACAGAGATGAAATGCCAAACTTTTTTCCCGTCACAGAAAAAATATTGTTTATTACTTGTCCAGAAATGATTTTTCTGTGCTTGCATGACTTCCCGTGTTCGGTTTCGCCTCACAAGAGAATTTGTCACACGCGCACGGAAAAATCCCTATTTCCAGACTATAGTAATGAAATATACTATTGCAGTATTTTTTCTGTTTATGTTCGGTGCCTAGACGGTCGAAAACTGTGAACGGTCCGCACCAAATTATCTACCTGGAAAACAAAATCTAGGTGTTTATAAATTGCATCCCGTTTTCAGACGAAACTGGAAAAACTAATATTATTCAAGTACATGTTTCCGAATCTGGTTTGGATGGTACCTCGCGAGAATGTGAATTCAGTCAAGGTGTATTGAACAATCTCTGGAATCCCCATTTCAATGTATTTTAGATAAAACATTATCACACAAGAAGGCCAAGATTTTTTTATTTCTCATGTATGGTCAAGAAACACTGACACACTATATTTGAACAAAATGTTGATTCATGTTGTGAATATTCATGTTGTGTTCCATATAGTATTTGATGGTGATATTCTTAACTTTTTTTGACTCGAACATCTTATCTCCTCCTGTATAGCATCAAAAGGATTCATTTCGTCGTGTCAAATATTTCCTCATATGGTTATTATCTGTGAAACTATCAACAAGATTTTTCAACATTGTTTTTCACGAATCCTCTTCCACTCTATAGAAAAAAATGCGCACTCACATTCCGTCCAGTAGAAACCTCATATTTATTATCGATAGTTTATTTTATTTCGATGAAAGTACTGGGTATTGAACTAGACAAGAATTTAAACTTCAAAACACATTGTGAATCATTAACATCAAAACTCAAATCATTCTATTACTTGATATTCAATTTGAAGACTATTTTGACTCATGAACAATTGATGAACTCTCACTATGCACAGGTGGAATCTCGTTTGAGATATGGAATTAACTTCTGGGGCAATTCCATACATTCTAAGAACATATTCATTGCACAAGAACGAATTGTAAGGTGCTTAACAGGAAAATCAAGGAAACACTCTTGCAGAGCTCTTTACAAAAAACTGAACATATATTAACTCTGACTGGATTATTCATTTTCGAGATATGTTTATTTATCCATAGAAATAGAGAAGTTACACCGAAAAATTATGATACGCTCAATTTTAGGACGGGACATAAAAATAATTTGCGGATACCCTTTTATAGATTGAATATCACCATTTCATCGCCAAACTTCATTGGGTCAAGATTATTCAACAAATTACCTGAATCAATGAAAAACTGTGAAAAGGGAATAGAATTAGAAAAACGAATCAAAATATTTCTAGTTGGCAAAGTTTTTTATACTGTGAACGAGTTTTTGTGTACGTAATATTCCAATTTGTTATATACACTCATTAGTATGTAGGTTTTCTATTTTTTTTTCTTTATTCGTGAGTTTCATAGTTCCTTAGTACCTTTGACTATTCCTATACAATGTATGTTGTCAGTTATGGAAAATAAATAATTTGATTGATTGATTGATTGACTATGTTCTTTGAAAACTATAGGGATTTCCTTTCGTGCGCTCCGAGCGATAAAGAAAATCAAAATCAAGATCAAAACTAGATATCAATTCTGAATTTTCAATTCGACGTGTACTGTGAGAACAAGAATCACATTTCATTTTCAATTTTGTGCATGACATTTTGTCAGTGTTGCCAATGGAAAAACATTCAATTTAATATCCCGAATAAGTTCTACTTGGGCCACATTCTGCGTAAAATGGTCTATTTGACGCAATTACAACTTGGAACGATGTATTGCTACAACATTTTCCTGTCTAGGCAGTACTTCTACATCCTAGGTCATATAAGTTAACCATTTCTGTTATATGTTATATAATACAGTTTCAATGTGATTACTTTCTATTCCCAAAAGTGACAAACAAGATAACAATGACAATTTCCAGATAAAACTAACTGTCATCATCCTCACTATCAATGAAGGTTAATATACAGTACGTATATACTACATCTCCCCCTTCAAGTACTACGAAGGTCTGTTAGGTAGAAGATGAAGAAATTTTCGATTCGACCGCTGCCACCATGTTATATGTTATATAATACAGTTTCAATGTGATAACTTTTTATTCCCAAAAGTGGCAAACAAGATAACAATGACAATTTCTAGATGAAACCAACTGTCATCATCCTAACTATCAATGAAGGTTAAAATACAGTACGTTTATACTACAATTTCTGCATATTGAGTATCGTTATGAATCCACTTCTGATGTCATGTGAAGCAAATAGTGTTTTGCTTTGTATGTTGTTAAGAATTGTGATTTACGTAAGTTTGGCAGAAATATGACGATTAAAATTGAAGCCAATTTGTTACAAAAAATGCAAACGTTTTTCTCTCACCAATATCTGAAATGTATGAGCTTTCAGCAGGAATGAAACACTTCAGATTCTTCCTACAGAAACTCACTCGCATGATTCCAAAGTGGAACAATTGTTTCTATTCTTTATTTGCCAATTAAATATTATCTCACCACTCCATCACGAATTCCTTGACACTTTCAGGTTTTTTGGTTTCACTCATACTATTATAGCTGCAAAAAAACATAAAATTGCCAACCCACATTTTGAATAATTGAGATAATATGTATCGTGATAATTTCGTTATTACCTGGTGAGACATAATTTCGAATATACATACAGGGTGCGTCAATTCAAATGGAAATTCACGATTTTCAATTCCAAGGGCAATCGGAAAATGTTCCTTACAATTGAATATAGTCATTTTTCTGAAGTTTCATGATTTCAGTAATAAGAAGAAATTATAAATCTGATTTATGACCTATCTACTTGTAGAAACGAAACGATTCTGGAGTTCATACAGGCAACTATAGAATGTAGTATGCCAATAATGAAACCGAAATCATATGGTGAACATGAAAACATGACTCGTTAAGTAATCCAAAACACCTTATTATGTAAATGAATTATTTTTGTAATTTTTCGAACTAACGAATATACACATATGATGGTTATTTCAATGACGAACGTTATCATGCAGTCAAAAAAATAATCTATTCGTGTATGAACATGTTCATTTGCTTATTCTGGAATTCGATCTGAAAGAAGCAATGACATTCTTATAACGAAAAACTTTATTAGTATTTGAATGTACATGAATTTCTGTATTCTAATTCATTTTCGACTTGTGTTCTTGAATGGCATCGTTGATAGCATTGAGAAGGGGATATTTATTTCCGTATTTTCCACGGAAATCGTCTGTATCCAAGGACCACAACATTATTCCTCCCAAATTTAAGTCCAAGGCATACTGCGTCTGAAAAAAAATAGTTATAGTCAACAATTATTCAGAATATTTTCTTCAGTGATCATCAACTTCAGCAAGGAAAAAGAATTGTATATATCGCAACTTTGGACATGGGAACCAACTCCCCAGAAGTGGAAACTTGTGCGGGGTTAGGAAGAGCTGAACCTACAGCTCCGAAACAAAACCACATCTAGGTCGTCAAAGTTTTTCTTGGATTCCAATCAAGAATCACACATTTTTTTAAAAAAATGCTCAGCCGATAGCCAGATTCGAACCGACCCCAGCAAACATCCAATCTCTGCAAAATTCTGGCCCTATGCATAATCAGTCGGTAGAGTGCTGGCAATAGCTGAGCTGAAACGGGCGAACGTCGGCTCATTGTATGGTATATTGTTATCGTTAATTCATAATCCAGCCAGCACTGTACCAGTAGTATTGAATCGTGATACGATATCACTACGTCGTCCTTCCACGTCAATCCGGCACTGGGCCAATAAGAGGCATCCGCGCTTTACCAGACTTCATCATATGATACTACCTATACATCAGCCCTCTTCTGTGTAATTTCGATAAAAAGTGGTTATCTATACTTTCTGGTACTTCATGCAGATGCATTATACACTCACCGGCAAGAAAAAACGGCCCGCAAAATATTTGATGAAATTGATCGCCCTGTTACTTTGAATCTTGTCAGATTCAAGTAAAATTCTTGACCGAATAGTAGATTCATGCTTCTGTGTCTCAGCCAGTTTTCAAATACAGGTGATGATGAATTCATTATTATACAGAGAAAAACTCGTCTACCATTAACTTCTCAACTCTCAAAACAATTGTTTGCTGCTTCACGTCAGGAGAAGGGGTATTTAAGGAGAGCATCGTTTTTTTTTCAATTCTCATTAACAATAATTCAGGTCCATTCTCCATACTCTCATTCGGAGTGTTATCTCTCTTTTTCTGTCTTCTTTACACCATTGTTTTTGATTTACGTCAATATCTTCATTTCAAGAAAATATACAAGTGTTTCAAGAAAGTATGGAATTACTCTTATTTTCATTAACAATAATCATTCTGAACCTATATTGAACATCTTTGGGATGAACTCCAAAGGCTAACCTTCGTCCGGCCTTGTCAGTGACTCGACAAGTGCTACGATTTGCCCTTTAACACTTTCAGCCCTGGAGATTCATCTTATATGTAATAGAATGATTTCGATGGTCAATTTTTGATTTCTCATTATAGGTGTAGTGATTAGGAAACCATGGCGGGAGCCTCTACCAGGTTTGAAGGTGACAAAATTACTCGATTTTGAATTAACTCGGCCGTTACTTGATGGAAATCCATGGCAAATGTAAAAACTTCAAAAACCATAAAATTTCCACAAATTTGAACACACGGCATGTTTCGCTAACACAGTAGCTTCGTCAGGTGATATACTGGAACAATGAACTAGACTAACCTTGGCTTCAAGCAAATTGAATGAGCTAGGCAGCAACAATAAAATTACCCTCCTCTGGGTGCCAGGGCATATCGGAGTGGAGGGGAATGAACAAGCAGACGCTCTGGCACGACAAGGGGCTTCAACGCCACTGATCGGACCAGAGCCATTCTGCGGCCTTGGAAATTCCTATTTCCAAGGAGAACTTGAGAAGGCGGAAGTAGCCTGGAGAGCCAGACAATGGAGAAGACTTCCAGGACTACGGCAGGCTAAAGATCTCCTTGGAAATTTCAACCGAGAAAGATCTAAGACACTGACAAACCTCAGCAAAGGAAGTCTAAAAGCAATAACGGGATTTCTAACGGGGCATTGCAGACTCAAAGAACACCTAAGGAAGCTAGGCTAACAGGAGGACGGCACCTGCAGATTCTGTGAGGAAGAACCAGAAACACCCCATCACATACTGATGGAGTGTGACGCTGTACATCACAAAAGATTGAACATACTGGGCACACACCAGCTGACTGTGAAAGAAATACCACAGCTAGACCCCCTCAAAATCCTCAAATTCCTGAAGGAATTGAATCTCGAGGGGCTGCTATGAACAAGAAATCCTTGACATAGCAGGAGCAGATGGGGCACAATAGATCTAATCGGGTCGCAGCGCATCTCTCACCATCCAACCTACCAATACCAATACCAATAAAACCTTGGCTTGCTTAACTTCTATATATCCTATTGTCTCAACCTCAAGGGTGAGTTACCTGTGGACAGTTTCGATAAACCTTCATATTTGGAAATTAGGTACAATATCTGCATTGAAATACAGTTAACCGAATTAACTGGAGAAGAATAGTATATTGTACAATAAGTGGGAGAAGTTCAACTTTTCTCACGAGTGTGAAAGTTTGTGGCACAAGCCCGAAGGGCGAGTGATGCAAACACACGAGTGAGAAGAGAAGTGCTTTTCCCCACATCTTGCACACGATACTTTTTCTACAACTGCACTTATTCAAAGAATCCGAGTTATGTAGCTTATTGGTATTCATTTCATAATGTGGCATTATACCACATTGTATATTGTGACCAAAGAGTAGACGCCTCTTCTAGTTCCTCAAAGTATTTCAAAGAAGTGCACTGTCCGGAACAGATTTTATTTCTGTATTTTTTTAGATTCCATTAATCTTTCGTTTATGCCAATTCATTCTTTTCTCTTGGAATTTTCGGTAACAAATCCAACTTTCGCAGCTTATTCCATTATCTCGGTCTCTGGCGGTGTACTAATCAAAATCGTCACATCTCGGTATATACATCATATTATTTATAATGAATTGTTGGAATAATATTCGATGGAGATGCGATTTCTATCAAAAGCACTGATGGGAACTACCCTAAAGAATTCAAAAAAAATTCTTCCGACAGTTGTGACAACAATTCAAAGCTGAACAGCAGCCAAGTATTGGTCGATTCTTGTTGATTCTCCATGAAAATGTATGTGGTGTTTGCAAAGTGTCGTGAGAAAAAATATTTCTCACAGTATGAGCAATACAATGTTTTGAAACTAAGTTAGCTATGGGAAATGCGCTACTCCTCATTGCAGTAGTAAGTAGAAAAATACATATTATTACCTACTGAGAGAACAATTTCAACAGTTATTTCGAGTTTGTTGATTTCTCTTGATTCAAAATGATTGAGTTCCATTCCCCCATTTTCTATGTGTATAATTTCGAAATTATCATCAAAACTATGGTTTGCTGTTAATATATGGTTGACATAATATGTTAAATTTGTTTTCTATTTCAAAAAGTTATCTCATGGTCATGAATGCGCTGATTGAACCTAAATTCTGACATTTATATAACGATCAACTAGACCTCGATAGTTCACCACTGTTGAATTTGTTTCCTTAGTAGGTAATTATATGTATTTGCTATGAACCGTTTCAATTTAATCCAGTACACCGTATTTGAATGTAGATATTGTACCTGATTACCGGAAATGAAAGTTTATCGAACCTGTCGACAGGTAACTAGGCCTTCAGGTTGGGAAAGTAGGATATATAAAAGTTAAGCAAGCCAAGGTTGGTTTAGTTCATTGTACCTTCCAGTATATCACCTGAAGAAGCTACTGTGTTAGCGGAACATGTCGTGTGTTGAGTTTCCCTGATTTTATACTATTATTTCTTATGAAAGTTTTTGAAATAATTCTTGAATTCTGACATTGAAACACTCGACATTTTTCAAAATGATTTTGTGATCGACCTCCACAAGTGTAGAATTCACAGCGCTGTTCATGACCATCTTTTTTTACTTACTGGCCAATTTCAGACGAACTCGACAAGCCCAGTCAGCAAATCATTTCATAGTCAAACTCGAAATAAAACCGCAAAGCTCTGGAAATGAGTGCCTGAGGAAGTATTTCCAAGATCTTATAACCTCTGAAAGTTCGGAAAAAATTCCAATTTCTACCCCCTTTCCCTATCTTCCTTAGGCTCGCACGATGTTCCTTGAAAAATCATAGGGATCTCCTTTCGTGAGCACCAAGCGGAAAAAAATTGCCAAAATCATCATATCTTACATCTTTGATAGGAACTATTTGTGTTCGCCAAGGTTATCATATCTTACATCTTTGATAGGAACTATTTTTTTTGCCGTTTGGTCGGTACTGATGCTGAGCTTCTGGGGCTTGCAGATGATAGGGACAGATTCCTTAGACTATACTGGATAATGGATTATCAGATGATAATATTCCGTTCACATTCATTTAGCCAAGATTTATTATCTGTATCGTCTTCGTGAATTTCATCACTTCCATTTCCATCTCCTTCTTCGATATCAGAATCAGGTAGTGCAACTCTCAGTTTTCAATAAAACCTTGTTGAAGGTATGCCGTATCATCATGTTGTATGAAAGTTTTATGAGACTAGAAAAGGAATTATGAATATTTCATAAATTTTTGGAATGAAACCCTGGTGGTGGTAATGGCGTACACTAAGGAAATTGACAGGTGGTTGAACAAGTATATACAGGGTGATTCACATAAGAACCGACATAGAGCAGCGGCATGTAAGGGGTTCCAAAATATGGCAATTTGACGCAACTTACCTCTATACCAAGTTGCTTTCCTAAGGAGTTATAGGCTTTGAAAGTGAAGTTATAAATTTTGAAAAAAATCAATATTCCCGTTATTCTTGAACTTGAAGCAACCAAATTTGGTACACTTTGTGGATGTATTTTGGGCGTTACTTGACAATAACTAGAGTTCAATTGAAATTTGTAAAGGGGCTATACCAGGTGGCGCACCATTAATATCCAACATAATTTTGTTAACACTCGATGGATTTCAAAAATCTTTGCTTGGTTTTGTGGCTAATTCAATTCTAAAACTTTTCTTACTTCAGTAATTTTTCGAAAAACCTCATCATTTCCATCAAAAACTCGAATAACTGAAAACGCGCGCTCTAGGTGTGTTATTTAAAATCATCGAAAATTCAAAAGTTGGCTATGAAAATAAACGTCAAACTTGACAATGAGGCAAGTGAGTTTTTCAATCAAGTAATTGTTGTTTGAGTGTT